AATATGTTTTGCAATTGTTTGTGCCATGCCTTATTCCAGAAAGGTACATGGCTAACCAGGAAACTTATTTCCTGTCTCATATTTAATTGGAATATGAGGAAATGTGAGGAAAACAGAACGCTTTGCCACTGTTGGCGGGAATATAGACTGTGGATCTCAGCGTGGAGATTCCTCAAAAAACTAAAACTAGATGTTCCATTTGATCCAGCTATTCCCCTTGTTGGTGTCTTCCAGAAAGAATTAAAAGCATCATGCCCCTGTCATATACAATAAATACCTATGTTTATAGCAGCACAATTTGCAATAGCCAAATCTTGGAAACAGCAAATGCCCATCAACTGATGAGTGGATAAAGATGTAGTGTGGTTTTCTTTTTGACAATAGAATACTACTCTGCCATGAAGAACAATAAGCTAGAGACCATGCTCTTTAGCAAAATAAATTGGACAAATATGTTTAAATACTGCATTGTCTGTTTGGTATGAGAAACTGAAAGTATAAATAAGGACCAAAATGTATAACAGATATTGGAAATTGGAACAAAATGTTCAAATGAGAAGGGGAACAGCGGAGAAGGGAGGGGAAAGGAAAAGATGGAACAAAAAAAATAAGAGAGATTAGTAGAAAAAACGGCAACATCACGGGAGTTGTCCATTTTTTGACTGGGTGTTTACATTAGGGGCAACCTAATTTTTAAAAATTCTTTATATATTCTAACATCAGTCCTGTCTGAGGAATAGCTAGCAAAAATTTTTCCATTTTGTAAGTTGTCTTTTCACTCATAATTGTTTCTTTGCTGTAGGTGAAGTCTTAAAATTTGATATGATACCATGTGTTGATTCCTGGTACTATTTCCTATTTAACTGCGATTTTGTTCAGAAAATTTTTACCTATGCCTAGCAAAATTCCTTCCTAGTTTTCAAATTCAAGAAACCACAATGTACCACAACCGAGTCTCACACTTTTAAATATTTCTGATATTTTTCTTGGCAAAACATCTCAATATGGAAATCCAATCTTTAAAGCTCTCCTGTTTGATTTAAAGCAAAGTTATTTTGTGATCCTAGTTTGAACAATAAAAAAGTCTTAAGAGACTTCTTTTAAAAAATAATAAATAAATATGTTTTGCAATTGTTTGTGCCATGCCTTATTCCAGAAAGGTACATGGCTAACCAGGAAACTTATTTCCTGTCTCATATTTAATTGGAATATCTGCTCACAAGATTAAATTACTGCACATATCTTCTGTCACTATGAAAACCTTCCCATACACTATAATGAGCCATGTATAGATCACAAATGTTCTTAAGCTCCTTAAAAGGATATTCAGTTCCTGTGTATACTTGCCGCCTCTCACCAGGGAATGTTCCCTTCCCAGTGATAACACTATTGATAAAATTTGTCCAGGAAAGGGAGAAGTCACTCCTGATGGATAACAACAAGCCTCAGACGCAGCCTAATGCTAGTAGGAGCATAACATAAATTATACACAAACTAATTTAGATCTATAGGTAGTATCCTGAACACTGTAGCCCGCAAATGCAGCATGTCTTCTCCGCAACTTGCCACCAGAGAGGAAGGTATCAATATCATCACCATAGTGTATATAATGAGTGCTATCTGCCAGGTATCGCACGAAGAATGGTGACGACCTAACTCAACGCTCACAACCAACCTATGAAAAAAGTATTATGTTTCCTTTGTCAAAGAACCCAGTCACATCTAGTACCTTCTAAATCAGAGCCCAAGGCCACTGTGCAGTGAAAAGGTTGAGGTTGGGATGGAGATGGGACAGATTAGCACTCATTTCAATACACTGCCGTGTTACTACCACTGTCTTAATCTCTCCCACGAGCCCCTGCTGGAGAGCAGAGGCCAAAATTCGCGTCTGTATCACTGGCACGCTGCAGGGCGGTTTCCCACAGGAGACCGCAAAGACCCAGTGAGAGCTCTACGATGAGGTAAGCTACCTTGTTCTCCTGGTGTCTCCACCACCTACCGCACAGCCTGGCATACTGTAGACACAACATAAACTCTCACTGAGGACGCGGGAGCAAAGGTGTGGGCAGCGAAAAGGGCAGCCCCGGGGTGATCTGCCCAGATCTCCCGGCGTGGCCTACCTAGACCGCGACCCGGGGTCGGGAGGCACTCCAGCCCCTCCTCTGTCCTGGGTCAGGACCTACCCAGCGCCAGCCACCTCCACCAGGGCGGCCGCGCCCAATGCTCAGGCGCCTGCACACGCGCAGCACACCCACGAACACCCCGTTCGCCCGACGCCGCCTCACTCCAGCCTCGCCTCACAGGCCCCCTCGGCCGCGCGCTCCCCGCCGCAGCTCCACCGCGCAAATCCACCCGCACCGCCGCACTGACTGGCGGCATTTGGACGCGCCCCTCCGCGCGCTGCGCCTCGACGACGCTTCTCGTCACACACCCTGCCGCACCTCACTCTCACGCGCATGCTCTGACTCCCAACGCGCTCGTGTTCGCACGCACGCACGCACGCACGCACGCACGCTCAATTCTCCCGCCTTACACCCACGCATGCGCACAAATTCGCGCGCGGTGCCCCGGCGCTCGCGCATGCTCACTTGTCGCGAGGAGGCCCGAGCCCGGCCTGCACCCGGGCGTGTTTGAGCCGTCTGCGCCCGCGTGTTGGGGGGCTGTGTGCACATGGGATTAGCTTGGCTTCCCCCAGAAGAACGCGCTAGCCGGGAAGAAGGGAAGTGGCCGGGCTGCTCGCGCAGAGGGCGGGGCGCGGAGCCTCCGCAGCCCGGGCCTGCGACCTCGGCCCCGCCGCTGTCCCGCCCCTTTCGCGGCGCAGGCCCTGCCCAGAGTCCCTTGGGCCGGGACACAACCGCTGGGGCCGCGGAGGGAGTCAGGAGTTTTCCAGCGCCAGAGACAGGAGTCACGATTCCTGTCTCTGGCGCTGGAAAGACAGGTGGCCTTGGACAGGTGCGTCGTGTCTCAGCTCCCGCTGCCCGTAAAAGGAGGTCTGCTCAACAAATGTGACTGCCCCGGCTAAGAGATCCACGTGCTGGGTGCCTTCAGGACACAGGCACCAGCTGTGCAGGAGCCCCGGGGCTGCAACGAGTCAGCCTAGTAAGGGTACTCAGGGGCCCAGAAATAACCCCAACCCCGAAGAGCCCGTGCAACTGCAAGTCCCAAATAATAATAATAATATTAAAAACAACGACGACAATAATAATAAAAGAGACATCAGGAGCTCTTACCGGGCAGCAGGCGCCAGACCCCATGGCAGGTAATCTTTATTCACAGTGGCCTTTTTCCTGTTTCACAGACACGGAAACTAAAACTCTCCCTCCATTCTCCTTGGCGTCCTTTCAGTTCTTGCAGTTAACCAAGAGAGACTCCTCTGGGTCCTTGTGCATGCCCCTCAGTGCCTGCACACAGTCCCCACCCCCTTCCCGCACAACCTTGCTCACCCTGTAGATCTCCCTTTAAACGTCCCCAGTGGCTGCAGATCTCATTGGGCTTTTCTTTCATATTCCCACGACCTTTTGTAAAACTCTCCGGCTCCAAACTGATGTATTGATTCTTTTAACATCCTGGAAACTCCCGGGGATGGGTCTTGTTCTAGGGGATTCCCTCGCACCCCTGGCACAGACCCTGGGGTACAGTAGGCACTGAACACACCCTCCCAACTATCAAGTGTCTGGCTGAAGCTCTAGGAGTTAAATTAATCTTTTCATGTTCAGGACAAGGGGTAGTGGTGGGGAAGATTTATCAGTTATTTGTCAGTCCTTACTTATTCTGGCCTCACCTCATTAAATCAAAATCTCTAAAGCACCACTGGCACACAGTGTTTATAAAGTTCCCCAGGTAACTCTTGTAGATGACCAAGGTTAAAAACCAGAAAAGCTGGATGCTAAAATTGATTAAGGCTTACGCTCATTTTGGTAAAACTAAAAACAGAACTTGTAAGTTCTGATTAAGCAGCTATTTCTGCCCAATGCCTGCATCATATTTAGGCCAAGGGAAGTGGAGAATTGCTAAGCTGTGAATAACTCAACCCGCTCCTTCCCTTCTTCTTCCCCTCATGAAAAAGAGAAAACAAAAAACACCATCCCTGAAAAGAGGAGTAAAAAAATGGTATGCGCCAGGGAAACTGGAAGGAGAGGAGGGGAGGTGGAGCATTTGCTTCGATTATCTGGATAATTGTTCCCACCTCTGGCCATTGTTGCTGAAATGAAACAATATTCTATTGGATACTGTCCTGGCCTTTTCAGACGGGCTCCCTGTGGTGCCTAGCACACGCTGAGCACAGAGTAGGCACCCAATAAATTTTCTGCTGATGACAGAAGAGAGCTTTGAGAGTGGGAGAGGCTTGGCTGGTTAGGCCGGAGATCTGGGGGTGGGCAGACAATTAAGGTGAAGTGGGGAACAGAGGGGCTGTATGGTGGGCATTCTGTGCCATCGAAATTCTGTTCTCAGGGCCAAGAGACTGGGAGACGGCTTTCCTTGAAATTCTGAGCCAAACCCCTCACTCCTTTCTTAGAAGGACCCCCCTCCCCTTCTCAGAGGGCTGAATTGAACTCTTGCAACTGTGGTGAACACAAAGGCGAATTCAGGTTTGTCAAAGGCCCATCCGCTCTGAATAAACACTAGGCAGAAGCAAGATCATTTTGGGTGGTGCATAGCGCAGGGCCCGCAGCCTGCTGTCCCTCTGGAAGACTATGCTGGGCTCTGCATTAAAAGCAACAGTATCGGGGCGGCCGACCGGGCCGCGGACAGCGGGCGCTGGAGCACCCCATTGCTCAGCTGGCACAGGAATGTGGGGACTCACTCCCCACTGCCCTCTTTCATCTGACCCACAGCTTTTCCAGAGGAGTTTCGTTTCTCTCTGAGTGTGTGCTTGCTAATTGCAGCAGACACTTTAATGAGATTCTTTTTACTCTCCCAAGCTCACTTGCAGGTTCCAGCGTTCTCTGGGGACCCACGTTTTCCACTCTGGCTACACCTCCCTGGAACAATTGCCTCTCCAGAGCCTGAAAGGAAAGCAGGCGCCCCGATTCTGCTGAATGCACGTCTCAGTTCATCCAGGGCTGGCGGGCTTTTGATGGTCACAATGCAAGTTACGCCCAGAGAGTGTCTCTTTGGTCAGATCGACAACGCTTGGCTTCACGTTTGCAAGTTAAACGGGCAGAAACCAGGCTGAAACTCCCACGCCAGACGCCGGGGACATTTCCCTCCGCCCTGCCCTGAGCAGGGCTAGGGAACGGGTCTGGGCAGAGGAGGAGAAAAGGGAGGGGTGGAGAGAAGGGAGGGGTGGTCGAGAGGAGAAAGGAGTCCTGGTTCTCAGTGGCCAAATGGAGGGGGGCATTTTCTCTGGCATTTCTTTCTCATTTTTATTTTTATTTTTTTCCCATTTTGCTTTGTTGTCAGCTTTACCCAAACAAAAAAATAAAATGAGAGCATTTTCTCCTCGTCTTCACCTAGGTAGCTGTTTTCCTGTAGTCCCTGAAAATGTGACTCCTTCATAAAATCAAAATTTATGATTATTCAAATGTTGGGGACTGTGAAAAGAGAGGAAGAAAGAGAGAAAATTAATATTGCAGCTGTTCTTCTGATTAATGAGAGATAATTGCTCATGAAAAGTCACCCCTGTGGCATTTTGTTGTCTCCTGGATCTTTGTTCTTTTCCACTATTATTGAGGACTTTCTTGAAGACTAAGCGGTTCTTTTCAATTTTGGGGTATTCAGAAAGGGTTGCCTGGTTACAGAGAATGGGGAAATCTCGGGCTATATCGGGTAAGATGTGCCACAGACAGCAATATCACAATGCCACTCGGAGAAAAGGATGGATACAAGTTAACGATGCGCTTTCAATAAAACATTCATAGACTTGTTCACGCTTTGATAATGACCTCATTAAAGGGAGCTGGGGGCAAGTAAGTCCTGTCTCCTGTTTGTGTTCGGCTAACAAAACCCAGCTTTGAGATCATTCATCGCTTTGGAAACTAATATGAAATCAATGTAAGAGGAGCAAATAAATCCGAGGCAGCCCCGCCAACTCCTTGGCTGTCCCGCCCTGCTTGCGGGAGAACCGTGTGGGGAAACGCTGAATCTGAGAGCGGAAAGAAGACGGGACAGAAGGGCGGGAGCATTTGGGGGGCGGCAAAGATAGCCTGAGAAGATGGCTAGGGACAGGAGCCCACCAGGGCTGTGGGGCCGGGGGAGTAAGCCGTGCTAACTCTGCATCCTTTACTTTCCCCGAATCTGCCTGTGAAAGGAAACGGGAAGAAACAGAAGTGAGAGCCCAAGGTGGGCTGCAGGTCAGACTCCATCCCAGAGGAGGGAAAAGGTCCAGGAAGATTTTGAAACCTACGAGCAGGAAGGAAACTGCTGTCCCAGCTGCAGACTGAAGAACCCAGAGGCAAGAAGGCAGGGGCTGGTGCGCGTTTCAGAACTGCTTTGGTTTTTTTAAGTTGAAGGTAGGATGGGGTGGCCTGGCTTGGAGGAGGTAGGGGGCACAATTTGTTACCTCTGCGTTTGTGACACTGCCTTGCACTCAAAGAAGACAAAGCTGTCCTCTACCGTCCTGAAGAGAGGGAGGAAATCAAGGGATTTACCCCTCCCCTCAGAAAGAACTAATTTTCTCCTTGAATTATGAAAGTAGTGGCTTAGGTAACAGCCTGTACTCTGTACCCAACTGCTTAATACCAAATAAATCCTTCCACGTGGCTCCCCGAGTCGTGGCAATTAGAGCTCATTATAGGCTCATAAGAGCTCTCATTTTGGGGATTACTTAATGGACGATGAAATTTTATCGGACAGAATCACTGAGAAATAAAATTGTGCAGCCGCGCAAGCAACGTGGGCACACGCCGATGGTCTACCAGGCCCCTCGCAGGAGAAGGCTGAGCACAGGGTCCCCCTCTGCTCCGAGCAGCTTGGGGTGGCGCTCCCTAGGGAACGGTCAGCCTGGACAGGGCCAATGGCGGTGTTGTCCGGGGCCCTGGAGTAGAGGGCTCACTGGCGAGGGTAAGTGGGGCTGGCTTCTGATCATTGGGCCAGATTCAAGGAAGGAAGGAGGAGAAAAAAAGATAGGAATGCACAGAAATGTGAAAAGAACTACAGAAAAGAGGGTAGAGATTATCATGCTTGCTGTGCCCGAGCAATGAACCAAGTACCCCACGAGCGAACTTCTCAGACACAGTCCTGGTCTGGCTCTGGAAGCAGCTGCAACCCTGCAGTCTCCCTCTCCCCGCAAAAACCAAAACAAACAAACAGAAAAACACCCGAACTCTGGGCCCTTCGCCTTTCTCAAAATGCCTTGGCCCTGGAAACTGCATACTTCCATACACTGGAGGAAATACACAAGTGTCCTACCTAATTAAGATTCCTTCTAAGAAAACAGTCTACACACAAGCACAATTCATAGCACATTAGCCGAAGAACATACTCGAAACCTCTGGGAATACTGAGACACAAGTGTTACCCACAAGCAGTCTGGATGACCCACCCAACCCAGAGAAAGAAAGGGAACAAGCTGTTACTCTCAAAAAATCAGTGGAACTGAGAACCTATTCATTACCTGAACAACTGAGGCCTTTTAAAAAATACCTTGCCCTAAAGTCTCTCTCAATTGTCGAACTCCTCATCTTTTTCCTGGGTGGGAATGGTTTCCAGGACTGCCTGGATGGTCCCATCCCGAGCTAGGCCGGGCCATACCAGGCTGGGCAGGCCGGGCTGAGGCTGTGTCTGAAGCCTGCATCAGCCAACCTTGCCACACAAAAGTAGTTACAGCTGAGCTGCCCCACGTTAAGCCCCGAGACTCCCTAATTGTTGTCACAAGATGTTGGATTAGCACATTTCTGGAATAGCTGTCTGTTTACACTCTGGAGACCCACTGTCCACTAACCGCTTTCTAATTGAATTCTAATCACATTCAAATAGCTCAATAACCAGCCTCAGCTGCAATTCATAAAACTTTAATTGCCATCCATAAATCCTGGGCTCCCCAGAGCGGGGCGTCCCTACAACCCAATTACACTTCTCCAGCAGACAAGAGAGACAGTCACAGAGATAGGAAGGGGAAGAAAGAGATGACACAGAACCATGCCTCCAGCCGGAGCTGCTCTCCTGTCTTGGGACACTTTGTTCCCTCCAGGGATCCAAGTCCTGTCTTCAAGCTTTTAGCACCTTCATGAATGCAGGCCTGAAATTACCCTGTCTGGGAAAGGGACCCATTCGTAGCTGTTGCGCAGCCTTGCTTTTCTGCAGGGGTAGAAGGGAAGCGACAGCTGTCACCTCTGTTGCCCTCCGTCTTTCCCAAAGATCCAGCGCCCCGGCCCGCGAGCCGCGCGCTCTCTAGCTGGGGACGCACAACTCCTCCACAGACTTGTGCACCGAGACAGATTTCCTTTAGCACGTCTTCCGACCAGAAGCAGGGTTCTGAGCGGCTGCCTGCATCCTGTCATCTAGGGTTTGGGGGTGCAGAAGGACAGTGCTCCCTGGTTACCCTGTCAGCTGCTCAGGATCCCTGCAAAAGAAAGGAACTGATCACTAGACTCCAGCAAAGGCTTCCTCTAACCCGTGATTGGTGTTTGGTCCTCAGATCCTCTTTCCAAGTCTTGAAAAGGGTGAGACAGCTCCGTCTCTGTCTCTGCCTCTTTCTCTCTCTTCCCTTCTCTTCCTCCCTTCCAAGGGGAACTGCCTATTAGAAGGGTCCTAGGTGTGAGTGGTCCCAACATGGCCCTAAACACAAAGGCACCTTAACTCTTTTCAAGCTCGAGATGAAACTTTTGGTGGCTTCTTGGGCGAAAGCCTGTTACTTGCGGGCTCCATCGTGAACGAACCCCCTGCTGACCTTGGCCAAGTCCAAAAGCCGGGAGGCAGGAGAGCTTGTGACCGTGGCCCTAAGCGCTCTGCGGACTAGACCGCCGCCAGGCCGCCGCCCGCACGCCCGGCTCCGGAGCGCGGGCCTCATCATTCCCCGCGCCGCCGCCGCCCCGGGCACAGAGGGCATCCCACCTGGGGCGCCCTGGGCCGGGGCGCGGGGCGAGCTGGGCCGGGGCCCAGGCTAGGGAGGGGGCAGCACGGAGCAGCCGAGCTGTGATTTCTCGGGAAAGCGCGGAGAAAGAGGGGGAGGGGGCCGGCCTCCCCGGGACATTAACAAAACCTACTCTTCGCAGAGCCCCCTTCCCCGCCGCGCCCGCCCTCCCGCGCTCGGCGGAGACGCCGGCAGCCTATCCCGAGTGCGGGGACCGCGCGGCGCTCCGCAGCATCACGTGCCGGAGCGGGGCTATAAAATCCCGAGCCGGGGCGCCGGCGGGGACGCGAGGACCAGCCCTCTCCCGGGACCCCTTTGTTCGCGCGCAGACGCCGACGCCTCCGCCGCCCGGGGCCCGGGCGCAGGCACGCAGGGCGCCGCCCGGCCTC